GCCCAGCTAGCTCACCTCTTCTACCTCTGACTTTCCAAATAAACTTCTGCTCGTATCTGAGTCTTGGCTCTGAATTCTTTCTGGGCCCGAACTCAAGCACCAAGGGTGCTGAGCCAAGGTCCAGCCACCAGTCCCATGCCGGGTGCCACTTTGCCGGCGACACGAGGAGACCAGCCGCTGGTATCCCGAGTTCTCGGATCGCCCAGGGACCTCCTCCACCTTTGGTCAAGCCTCAGCTCCCGGCAGGTCAGGCGCTGGGAACACTGGCTGCAGTAACTCGCCTTACTTTTGACATCTACTCATGCTGCCTCACTCCACCTCTCTGATGTTTCTAACTTAAACAGTAAAAACACCTCGGCGTCCTGATTTCAGATCGCAAGCACAGGTCCCACCTCCCCACCCCAAGCCACCCAGACGGAAGGCGACAGTCACAGGCTTGGTATGAAGACACGGGGTATGTGGGAAGGAGGCCGAGAGGACTGTACTCAGTCCATCTGCCGCCGATTATGAAAAGGGGCCCCAGCACCTCTTCGTTCCTTTGGCTTCGGGATGAGGAGCGCGAGCACCCACAGCTGTGTCCCCACCCCACCTCCCACCACCTGCCCCGGCGGTGGCCGGAACCCAGAGAGTGTTCTCGAAAAACACTCACTCAGCAGCTCCCCCGGCTGGTCCGGCCTGGCCAGCGCGAGCCACGGCAGCTGCCCAGCAGCGTCAATAGCGCCCAAGCAGCTGCCCTCCTCCTTGCTGTTGCACTTAAGGGGGAATCACGGCCCTGAGAAGGGTGAGGGTATGGCCCGGGAAGGGGGCGGGGGGCGCCGGGGTGGAGGAAGGGGCGTCCGACGTGCAGAGGACGGAACCAGCCCCTGGCTCTTCCTCTTCATCGTCTTCCACTTCGGGGGTCACTGTGGGGAGGGGGCGATCAGGCCCAGAGCGAAGACACACCATCGCCTCGGACCCAGGCCAGTGCTCGCTGGGGTATGATTATGGAAGAGGATGAGGAGAGCACGGGCTTTGACTGACGACAATGCAGGGAAGTTCGGGCGGGGGTCACGGTCGCCGCGCCGCCGCCCCCGCCAGGAACAGACCCCAAATGCCCCCAGAGACCAAGTCTCCGCCGTAAGGACGACCTTCCCCTCTGCTGCAAAACGACCGCGGCCTCAACTCCCCAGCCAGGCGGAAGCCGGAGGGGAGGTCCGACCTCCGAGAGCGCCCCTTCAGGGGGTCCATCCGGACTGG